TTCTAAACTTCATGCATCCAACACCCAAGATGCACTACTTCATAGAACGGGCAAAAAGAAGACGAAGCCCATGGGGATCGAACCCACAACCTGATTTGCTGTTAGATGGTGCTGGATTAAGAGGTGATTGGTGAAGTGTACCTTTGGTGTTTATGCTTTCTGACCGAAAACCAACGCGCTACCATTGCGCCAAGGCTCCGAATAGATTTCGATACAGGATTTTCCAGATGCAGCATTTATATTCTTAGCAAAACAGATGCTACAGCAGTCTTCGAAGCCGATGTTCTTGACCTAGAATGCCTCATCAAGGAAATGCCAAGCGATCGTCCCATAGAATATGTGCTTTCTTCGCATGAGGGGCAGTGTGCGTCGTGCTAATGCTTTGACACATCACTATGCCCCACATCGAACCACAATCTTCGTGTCGCTCCGCAGCTTCATGCACACCACTGGAAAACGCGGTACAGATGGTCCATTCAGATAGCAGAGTTGCTAGACAAGACATTTATTGCTTACACGAAGGTCTTACACAAACGCGTCCAGATGCGCGGAGTTTTCCAGACGCCAAACTTATGCAATCGCTAATCAACATGACATGTACGCCAGACTAACAACAGTGTGCAAGCCCTCAATTTCGTGGCTTCCTCCACAACTCCTCAGGATCCATTTGCCGCGTTGGAGATACCCCATTACTCGGCTGCGAGTACTCAATACCACATGCGCCGCGATCCAAAGCAAGCGTGTTCAAGTTCCAATGCAGCTGCTCATCAGGATCTGTCGCCAAGCTCGTTCGGGTACGTCCTTGCGGCTGGTATGGCGCTTGCTCGGCGTTTGAGTTATTTGACGCCATCAAAGAAAGAGATAATGTGTCAAGCTCGGTCGCAAAGTCCATCTCCTCTTTGCTAGCTTCCAACGCAGAGCAAATGTTGCTCGGTCGTGTTTTTGCTTTAATCTCCAACTCGTACACTCGCTGGTCGCGCGAGAACTCCGCTTCGAGCTGTCGGTGCTCGGCATACCACTGCTCGTACTGCTCCTTGCTCATCTGCCCCATGGGAGGGTAGGTCGCGTTATGCGCCGCTTGCCGTTGCTCCCAAATCTTCGCGGCTTCTGCTTGGATGCATTCATTACATATAAAGGCAGCGTCAACCGTGTCGCCATATGGATCGATGCAGTTTCCGCCACAGTCCTCGACAAGGTCTGTTCGGATACGGTGAGAGCAGAGTAGCTGGTGATAGAGGCGACCTTGACACGGCGCAAAACGCTTGGTCCGGATGTTGTTGAACGTAGAGGCGGGTATTTGTTGCGAGGTAGATGAAGAGGCGAAGGGGTTATTTGCTCCTTCGTCCGGGGTGCTCGTCCAGCCCCATCGACATGCCATTACGAGATTTGCATGAGACATGGTGTCGTCGGAGACTTTAGAGTTTGGCATGGCCCTAAAGGCACTGTTTGAAAAATCCATAATGAGGTTGATCTCCAAGTTGGACTTTTGAAGTTTGCAGAAGATATGCGGGTGGCGTCAGCTGACAACGCGTGGTTGCCTTGAGTGATGGTATTGATTGGTCCTTCGAAAGTTACACAGTATCGAAGTGATTGATGTTGTGCGATTCCCGACGCGAAAGTGATCAAGGTCTGCGTTGAATAATCGGCGCTGTTCCTGTGGTCGCGTGGAGGTGCATCGTGTGTGCACAGAGCGCTAACAGAGTGTGACGCTAGCTATCGCAAGGCGCTCACTCTATGGTCCCCGGCAGTGAAAGGTGTATTGGCAACTCTGGTGAAGCGGGCCGATAGTGATGTGTCGTACGAATGTGCTGCTGAATCCTCGACGGATGATGTGCTGCTGGGATGGGCTGCGATAAAACGTGGTGAGTCGTCGCGCGACGCGCTGCCTGGGTGGCCAAAGCTCGCGATAGACGCTAAGCCTTGTTCGGGCCGATGACGATATGGAACCTTCCAGTATCTCGCCAAGTCAGCATCCAGCCACTCACCAGCCTTCACACATGTATCACGAGTAGTTCTGATTGAGACAGTGAGGAAAAGCAATTTGGAGAGGGGAACTGTTGTCTCAGCACCTGTACGCGTCGTCATACAGTGAGGTGACGGAAGAAGGGGGTGGCAAAGAAGTAAAACAGGGGGACCAATCGATGCACGATCCTGCTAATCGTCTCTATATCCAACTCACTACCCTACAATCTCCAGTTTCCAAGTCTCTAGATCAAGAATCTGAAACCTCTCTCGGCACCGACCCCAGGGACAGCGTTGATTGCGCCTTCAACGTGTTCTCCACGAGCAAGTTTCTTGTTCAGCCGCCCCAGTATAATGCGCATAATGACCGCCATGATAATGGCCAGTGCTGCAGTTGCGCAATCCACACTCAGGGGAACTGTCAAATCCGCCGGACCACTCTTTGGCTGAGGATACATGTAGCTTGCATAAATCGAGCTCGTATTACTGATCGCGTTGATGAACGCCAGTGCAGCCGCCCTCTTCGCTGGCGGACGAGGCAAAGAGTTGGAGATCCAGGCCAGAGCTACGACATATCCAGTGTATACACCAGGTACCATCAGCATCATGGCGACGTAGCGAGGTGCTGTTGCAGTCGTAGCGGCGGCAAGGATGAAGGCTGCTACGCCGACGCAGAGAGGGAGGACGATGTGGAAGAATCGTTCGCCAGTGCGGTCGGCATGCCAGGCGTTGAGGTAGGTGGTGATGACTGCGAGAACATAAGGTGGCGCTGTCAACAGAAGTGTCTCGATGTTTGGGTATCCTAGCGTCTTGACCACTGTTGGGAAGAAGTTGGTAACACTGGCCGAGGATACGTTCGCTAGAAGCATTATTGTAAGCACCCAAGTCTTGATATCGAGTAACGCAAGCTTCAGGCCGTGGAAGAAGGTTTGCGACTCTGCCGAGACCCAGTCGTCTTCACCGACGTCTTCCTGGAGCCTGTAGACGGCGAGTTGGCGTTCTTCCTCTGTGAGCCAGGAAGTTGTTCGAGGGAAGTTGGGTAGGATCCAGAAGGCGCCAAAGGCAATCGCCACGGTAATGATACCCTGAAAAATCAGCTAACATTCCAGACACCCGGCTCGGCGCGTGCGGTACTTACCTCAATTATGAACACCCAACGCCACGCTCTCAAGCCCTGCGTGCCATCCATGTTACTCGTGATCCCCGCGGTGATGAGCCCACCGAAGGCGCCCGAGATCAAACTTCCAGAGTAAAGAACCGCCGTTCTTAGACCCAGCTCCTTCCTCGTATACCAAGCGCTGAGGTAGAACAGACATCCTGGGAAGTATGCGGCTTCGATGAATCCTAGGAAGAAGCGGCACACCACCAGTCCTGCGAAGTTCTGGCATGCAGCAGTCGCACCCGATATGATGCCCCAAATGATCATGCACGTCGGGAGGTAAATGGCTGGTTTTCCAGTCTTGTTGAGGAACAGGTTTGACGGGATCTGCATCAGGATGTAACCGACGAAGAGGATGGAGACGGTGGTCTATTCAAGTTAATGAGAAACTTGCCGGTGATTTCAGCAATCACATACTTGATACTGTACACTCGTGAGTTCCAGCTCGTCTTGAAGACCTGCCAGGCGAACGGCAGCGATATTGTTCCTATCGAGGTAATCTGGGCATTATTAGCGCTGCCCACCCGCGACCATCTACTAAGACATACTCATGATATACATCAGAATAATCATCGGCAACAATCTCGTATCGATCTTCCGTCGCATCCTCTTCTCTGCTTCGATTCTTTCCTCGGCACTCATAGCAGCCACCAACGGCGGTGGGACCAGCTTGCGATGCCCATCGACCACCCCATTTCCTGCTTCCAGAGTAGTAGGCGCGATTTTGTCATCCGAGATATGCTCGATCGAAGGTTTTCGGTCGTCGGCCATTGTTGTGCGCGTCGGGCGGACTATGCGATTGTCGATTCGACGTAGGCAATGCAATAGTGTCAAGCTGAAATGTGGTCAATGTGAAGGCGCAGCGACAAGAGACGACAAGCAACACTGCGGGGCCCCAAGCTTCCACTTATATGAAGCTTGCCCGTACTCCCAAGCATCGACCGGGGTAGCTCGCGCCATGTACATCATTCAACGACCGTCATGCGACGAAGACATACGATGTACACCAGCGCACACCCAACCATATAGCCGAGGGCGGTTGCCGACAACCGTGCAGGAATGTCGGCCCGCTGTAAAGATCAGCATCTCACGACGACGGAGATTCGCACGCGATTCGTCAATTGGGATGGCAGTTAGTCGTAGTAATATGCTGATGCAACGGTGTGCATGCGACACGGGCTAGTAGCGCTCGTGTTGGAGGATAAATCGACATGCGGGGTGAAGATCGACCGAAGCGTCATAGTTGGCGCAACGAATCCGGGGTAGCTGAACGGCTTATTGCACGGCAACTGCAAGCGACACACCCTTTTCTTTTCCATCACCATTCGCATCGCCGACTTCGCAAACTACATGACTTGTCGCTTGCCTTGGCACCTTGAGTGCGTAGTATAGCTCGGTATGGCTAAGGTCAGCGCTGCCTTCAGTGCTCATGACGCGAGCACCCCGAACGGTCACCCTGGCAGCTACAATGAGCGACAAGCTCAATCCATGACTGCAAATGCTCTTATGCAGTCATCACGGTGTTTGTTTTTGAGAAGGGTCATCGATCTACACAACCCGAGCCATAGAGCAGAAATCGAGACACGCATGTTAAATGGCACATGTCATGAATCGCATTACCCTCGTCTGTGTCCCTCTATGCTACCAAATATTCATCCGTGGTCACACCGCAGAAGCGCAAGGTAAAGGCAGGTAAGATACTCGTTGCCTACGCCGGGCTCCGCACCTTCACAAACGGCCAGATATAAGATATCAATTTACCCAAGTAATCTTGAGTTCTCAACTCTACTATCCAACAGCAAATTAAATCGCGATTACAAACAATTACCTCAACTCAGCCGCTCCCGACGCCAAGCATCCCAATACCAACTACAACATCATGCCCGCGGTACCAAAAGATCACTATCTCTGGACAGTAAGAATACAAGTTACACTCAATCGCCGTACCGAGTACTAACCATGATAGGCCATCGTCCGAGGAAGAGATGGCCCCGCAAACATCGCGAAAGCAGCAGAGCTCAGGGCCCTTGTCGCGGCAACCGCGGGATGCACCATCGTCAAAGACTTTCACCCAATGGAGGGTCATGGCTTCATGTATGGTAACCACGTCTCTTTCTCGAAGTCTCAAACTAACAGTACTATAGCTACCACATGGCCAATACCGTTGAGTCAAACCCACTTCAAGAGTATGTCGGCTTGGACGCGCGTGCTCAGGTGCAACTGAAGCGCCATCGCAGGTCTGCGGAGTCCATGAGAGCGGAGGTCGTAGACGTCTCGGAATCGCAGGTGGATGAGGGCGCCGAATTCCCTTACACATCTGCGGACGAGCTCAGCGACGATGACTAAGAAGCTCCAAGATATACTAAGTATGTGGCTGCCTGGGTGGGATTTTTGGGATAAGTCGTGGTGTGTCTCGCGGCCAGCAGTCCGTCGTGGCGCGACCATAGAACTTTGGTTTTGTAGGCCCCATGAATTTGAGCCAGATTTACTATTAGGCTGCTAGAATCTACTCGGGCGAATGACAGTGATTAGATATCTAGAAGGTACGGGCTGTGGCTTAGTGCGAACATCAACCACGGTTTTCTACGAGGCGCAGCTGCGCACCTCTTTCATAAAATAACTTGCATTCTCAATTTGTTTTCCTTTCCTTCATACCACTTCCAAACTCTTACTCGGATTTTCCGTATATCACCCACTTTACCAAGTAAATACATCCACAGCACACAAAGCCATGGACAACGAAAAGGACACCCTCCCGGCCTATACTAGGTTCTCAACCCCAAAGCTATCATGGCGTGTTCCAGCTACCAGCACGCGAACACCAGAACAACAGTTCGAGTTAGACCTCGAGGCCCTGAAGAATGACGGAGAACTCGCCAGGATCGGGGCAGAATCCGACGAAGACACGAGGAAAATGAAGATAGACCTCTTCTTCCTGACCCTCAAGCTCCTGATCTTCACTGTGATGGCAGTGTATATCCTGGGGTTTCTCTCCGACGTACTCGCTGCCTGCGCGCCGCAGGTCAAGGCGGCGGTTAAGGCTTCGCCAGCAGTAAAGGTATGTTTTAGTTTGCATAGGTACCATTTGTGTAGTATACTGATGCCGTCGTAGTATTGTTTCCCAGAAGGGCGTTGCTATACGCAAAAGGAAGTAGCAGAAGAAGTAGCATCTTTAGTCGGGCATTATTTCTCTGAACACAAGGAGGAGATTGAGGAGGCTTTGAGTGGAGCTTGGGATGGCGATCTTTGACTCTAGCGCACACGGCGACGCGCCAACGAAGACCGCGTCATGAGAGGACGTTGAGGGCACAGGGTACTATTCACGTGTCTTCTCGACCATTCTACTCAGGATATACGTGTCTACTAAGGAATTCTCTGTCTCTATTTGGCGATGGGATGGGTATGCAACGTCCAGATTGAAGTACACGTTGTACTGGAAGGCGTGTACTTATCAACTTTTGAGGGTGTGTATGCGGCAAGATGCGACTTTGATTGGAGGCACCATCGGCGTAGCAATGTTAAAGACGTAGCAAACATCGATTTTCACTCTATGATACCGGCCTTCTTTACGCTTATATGTTATTTGGTCGCCTCTATCGCTCCAACCGTCCACTCTCACGCCCCAACAACTCGCCAACCTCACTTCCCAATCATATTCCAACGATGCGTCCCCGACCACGCCAAGCATTATCGGTCTTCTTCCAAGTGCTTCGTGCGGGTGGTTCGTAGAGGTGCGGGGCCAGTAACGAGGTTGCGTGGGTGATGACTGACGTTTGAAACGTAATGCAAATCGACTGGATGCGAACGTAGTATGTCTGTGGTGGAGATCTCGTGTGACGTCCTCGGCTGTTCTGGTGGTGAAAGTACGACGACTGGCGGTGGGTTGAGGTTGAGAAGGTCTGATGTAGATGTCAGCGTACCCTTCCAGAAGGCATATAATGAAGCGGAGCTTACAGATTCTACGGATTGAACGGTGTTGTTTGCCTGGTGACCATCTGCGGACCATTCTGAAAGTGTGTTCAGAAGTGGCGGCCCCCCTTGATATGTGATTGCGGTGAGTACTGCGAGCCTGATAGCAACAGCTAGCGAGAATAAGTCACCCAGAGAAGTCTGGGTCCAGAGAGCTTGTATTGTGGATCTTGAATATGGAAGAACCCCTAGTGATGACAATCAAATAACAAGCATTACCCAAGTATGGGATACTTTTTTCTTATCGCACTCCCATGTTCACAACCATTAGAAACATCGATGTCCAAATATCCTTTCTCCAGAATCCAGTTGATGTACGCGAAAACTTGTCTCTCTGCTGGTATCGTATCAGGCCGGTCCATCTCGTCGTAGTGCGACAGCGCAGAGTCAAACGTAGCGCTGAAAACGTCGGGCTCATGTAAGTCTTCCAGGACTTTGGCCCGCGGTACTGCCACGCCATTCGCGCAGCATTGCATATGGGCCCAGCTGTATTGAAAGTGTTCATCTTCATCATCTGTGGGATCATAGAGCCTTTTGCGCCATGTCGTCTTCGTCTTTGGAGGTCTGTGAAGCCCACTTGGAAACAAATGTCCCTGCCGAAGAGAACAGCAAGTATGCTCACCACCCAAGAAATCGAAAAGAACTTGTCTTGTGAGAAGGTAGATGTACTGGTGTAGTTGAGGCTTCGGTGGGTTTGAAACTTCGATATATCTCCGAATGCGGTCTTTCCATGAGGGATTATACCATTCGTCTTCGTCTTCGAGCAGGAACTTGACAGGTGTACACCCTTTCGGTGAGCATGCGCATGTGCAGTCGTCGTATGGCACACCAAATGCCTCCTGTGCCATTGCGAGACAGTGTGCCTTCATGGCTGATGTGTCCTCGCTCCAGGTGTAGGGTGGCCTTCTAACGCTCATACGCTTCGCGTGAAGATGGAGGGCTGTTAAAGGACCCATCTCATGTTTTGAGTCTAACCGTGCACCTCTTTGTATCAACCAATTTATCATCCCATAGTTATGGCTGAACCAGCCTTGCAAGAGCGGAGTCCACCCATTCTCGTTGGGTTTGTCGATGTCGTGAAAACCTAGAGACCACAGTGCATCTGCTGTATCTGAAGTCATCTGGACCTCTTCACCAGTGGTTGTAAAAGAGCTATAGAGTCCCCTTCCATCGAGCTCAAGAGCCGGAGGAATATGGATTCCATGTGACAGAAGCCTTTCGGAAATGGATGGCGCAAGCTGTTCATGTAACTCAAGCTGCACCAACCCGAGCCTAGAGAAGATAGAGGTTGGTAGACATGACTCAGCCAGATTTCTGATACGCGTATGACGATCACAAAACGCCTGAATGAGTTCAAGTGAAATCTGTGATCTTTTGTGATCGTCACTCAAATTCAAAGCGTATTGCAGCAGGCTGTAGTCTTGTGCTGGGGTAAAGAGTCCGCAGTCCGCGTCGAGCAAACATTGGACGGAATCGAAGATCCCTAGAGCCACGGCAAGATGTATAGGTCGCCGACCAAAGTTGTCTTCGGGGTTCACATCCACACCTCTGCCTACTAGCATCCTCAGTCCGATTGGCCATAAGACAGCGAAATGAATTGGAGCAAGTCCGTTGATCGGTGATTTCCGATTCAAAGTTGATGGCTCAGCCTTTTTGATTATGCGGCGGAAGTGCTCTTCCTGTCGTTGCAAGATGATCGGCACAAGAACCCCGAGATCCATGACTAGTATAAGATATCAGGAATAATTCACACCAAATGAACTGAGACACTTACTATCAATTTGATCTTCAAAAAGCCTCAGCTGTATGACATCGTCGCGAAAACTGATGCAACGAACGCCTGGACGGTTACTACCTACGAAAGGTTTCGACGTATGTCCTCCAGCATCTACGAACAACTCTAGTATGGTCTGAAGTCCTGAGAATAAGAGACCACCACAACTCAGGTCAGCCGACATTGGGTCCATGAGCTGGTCGCATGTGGTGCCTCCATGATGCGTCAAGGAGTCGAAAGTGTAATCAGGTATGGCATCTTTTATCGCATTGGGGTCAGCACCATTACCCAGTAAGAACCGAAACAGAGCTGCATATTCCGCGACTTCGCGAGGCGAAGGACGGTGAAAGACGAACAGTCGAACAACTTCCTGTTGAACGCTGGTTAGGATAGACTTCTATCACAAGACTATGTATGCTTACATTCAGAATGGTACGACCATTTCTATCAGTGTCAAGGGCTGAAGCTTCTGCGTTATCGAACAGCCGCTGTAAAGTGTTTTGAAGCTGAGGGACCACCACGTGATGCCAATCTGGGCTCCATTGGAGCTTTTCGAGCTCCTTCTCGGTTTTCTTAATTGCAAGGAACGCAGGCGACACCTTTGAATCAACAAGTCGGCTTGTACCGACCATGATCGGACTTATCGAGAAAGGGGTCATGGTCGACCAATTCTTGACCTTTGTACCGAAGTCGATAGTTTGGTATAGAAGCCATGACGGAGGTAGGATCTGCATGGTGATTTCAAGACTTTGCTCCGCTTTTCGGTAATCGGGACAGTATGAGAAATGTTGCGTTTGGAAAGTTCGGGTGAATCGAAGGATGGACAACGGCTGCCACCGACGTGCAGTGCTGACAGTACGACATTTGCATCTTTGAGCTCTACGACCATGGATTATCGTGGTTCGCTGTACTTGTTGGCTTATCGGGGAGCCGTCATGCATGTGGTTTGTAACGTAGCCGGGCTGTGCGTAGGAATTGTGTTTGCCTGGGCTCACGGTCAACTTTTCGATGGCCGCGATAATCTGCTCTGTATTTGCCAATATCATTGCCGTGCTCTGATGACTCGACTGCCGTGTCGATGCATCCGCATTGTATTCTGATAGGAGGCGCTGGGTATCGTGTAGGATATGTTCCGTTCTGATGGCTGTGGTTGTTGTGGTTCGGTCGATCTGTTCGATGCGAGGAAGCAGCTGTGCTGTATTTGTTGCGGTGATCTTCGAGATATCTACGACTGTCTTTATGAGCGTCGTTGTATTGTTGACATCAAGTCGCGTCTGGTCTGTGGTCGCTGCGATACTTGATGTGAGCTTGCTGGATGTTAGTCAGTACAGTGGTATCCTCCAGGCCGGGCAGCCAGCTTCCGCATTGTTAGAACTTCACTTACAGATTCGCTGCTTCCAGCCACAAGGATAGCATGCTCTTCTTCTGTTCAAGTCGATCACATATGCTTGCCACCTCTTCTTTCTTACGGATGGAGCAAATAGCATCCCAGCCTCGTTGCAGCACTCCATTATTCTTGCGGGCGAGCAATGCTTCTAGCGTCTTACACAACTCTTCAGCGAGATCAACGTACTCAGCTAGAGGCGCGTCAAACTTCGAGGAAGCTACTGCCGTCGCGAAACCAGGCAAGCGGTGATTCTGGATCTGTTGGGCGATCTCGATCTGCTGGCGTAGGTCGGTCTGCAGCTGAACAAAACGCCGCGGCACGTTGCGCACATCTGAGCAGAAGCGTTCGAGACAGGATGAAAGGCGGAGAGCTACGTCCACGAACTGGACAACAGCGGCGACGGCGCCCACCACCTCCGCCATCTGAGGGATTGTGATGAGAAGGATGAGTTGCAACAGCGGGGAATAGGCTCATATGCATAGCCACAGCTGACCTAGCTCATTCTGAGCGAATAGAATGCGTGCATGATCTTGTACATGGTGTTGGCAAGGCTGAGCTTCAGCCTTGTAACCAGATTGGTGAAGGCGATGGACTCAGGTCAGGGTTCCGTCGTGAGCTAGACATCGAGCGTGATTTATTGAGAGGTGCCGGATCATCGCGGGCAGTCGTTGTAGATTATTCACATTTTGATGGTGAAAGTGTAAGTGAAGGCGAGCGTAGATGAGACGAATGGCAGCTGCTGGACCCTGACGCTAGCGATCATTCACGGTTAGCGCCACATTCATCGGAATCGCCTTCCGAGACGGCGCGGCGACAATCGTAAGCTCTTGGTAGCCTACCCGCCTTCTCGAGGCTTCTGATGCTTGCTCAGCGTTTTGATCATTCACTGTCGCCTCCGTAATAGCTCTCTAGCATCTTCTTCACTCAGCCTTCCACACATATATCATTCCCACGTCTACCACAACCATGACAGCCAACGAATCAAGCTACACCGAGATGAAGGGCGACTTGGAAGCAATCGGGGCGCATTGCCAGATGGAATACTGCAATGTGCTAGACTTCTTACCGTTCCGCTGTGAGAGCTGTCACGGGTAGGTACCTAGCCCTCCCAAGGCTACGCGTCCCACGCGTACCTACACAAGATACCCGTGGACTACATCATACTAACACCCACGCCCAGGAAATTCTGCCTCGACCACCGCACCGAATACGCACACAATTGCCCCAAAGAAGGCGAATGGGCGCGGCAAAAAGCCAAAAACGCCCAAAACACCACCCCATCCGCCCCCAAACCCAGCGTCTACAACCACGACTCACAATGCGCCGACCCCTCCTGCAAGACCTTCATAGACACCGCTCGCGCACAAGGCGTCCACTGCCCCCGCTGTAACCGCCGCTACTGTCTCAAACACCGCTTCGAAGAAGACCACTCCTGCTCCACCTTGACTCCCCTAGGAGCGCGCCCGCAGAACTACGTCCAAGCACGTACGCAAACCGCGTTGACAAGACTGAAAGCATGGGCAGAGCAAAAGAAGAAAGATGACGAAAAACGGCGCTCTTCATCCAAGAAAACAGGCGGTTTCCTCGGCCTAGGCAAACCCTCTTCCTCCGCAGCATCATCCGCGCAAGCTGAACTCAACGCCCTCAAACGCGTCGCAAAAGGCGAAGCCAGCATCCCCGCCGAGAAACGCATATACCTCCACGTCGAAGCCTCGGCTGACACTACGAAAGCGAAATACCCCACGGGGAAATTCTTCTACAATAAAGAATGGACTGTGGGACGTGTGTTGGATATGGCGGCGAAAGCGCTGCAGGTGCAGAATGTGAATAATCGGGGTGGGGGCGAGGAGGAGAAGTTACGGGTTTTCCATGTTGAGGGGGGACGGTTGCTCAAGTTTAGTGAGAAGATTGGGGAGCCGTGTCAGAATGGGAATATGATTGTGCTGTTGAGGGGGGTTGGGAGCGGGGAGGCGCCGGATTTGATTGATTTGTAGGTGGGAGGGGGCACTGGGAGCATTGCATGGCATGGCGTTTTGTGGATGTGTTTTTGCGCTGGAGATACCCTAGTGCTTATGATGGCATGATTGAATGAATGGATGAGTGATTATATATCTAAATAGAGCCTACATATCGCATCGAAGGCGTGATTCAGTATGTCAACTTCCCTTGAGCAAGGAACAACGAGCCCGTCCCAGCTACTCATGAACACAGACGTAAGCTTGATACAATCATTATATCTAGATTTATCCTAATTCGGTACTGATACAGCACTAAGTGGGCGTCGAGCACTTCGAACGCCGGTGCTATCTCCTATCGCTTGTAGATGCAGAAACCCCAATGTAAACGCCAATCGCAACGCTGTATCGCATGAAACATGCCCTTGGTATATACCCACTGCTCTCTCTGCTTGTGTGCTTGACAAACTCGCACCATACGGTCAGCACACGTCGATGTGGTATTCTTCTGACCTTCCTGAGCGCATCCCAGTCTCCGCGGCGGAGGTATATCGTTCGCATCCGTAGTGTGGGTTGTGTCGTCGTGCAACAAGTGCAGCTCTGTCTGGATCGAATCTCGCTCGACGTATGTATCGCAACATGTATCCATCTCTTGCCCTCATGCGTCATCCATTCAGTCGTCCTCGTGCTCCTTATTACTGCACTTCAACCCATGTATCTTTGTCCCCCAACCAACACTCCCGAGGTTATTCGCGCCATCTGAAATAGAGAGAAACTGATCCATATTCTCGTCGCCGCTGCAGTCGTAATTGCTGTGGTAAGATTAGCTGCCGCTCTCTGAAATACCTACCCCATCTACCGCACAATAGACTTACTCATAAAACCGGCAGCTCCAATAATCATCTCTGTCCAGCACAGCCTGGACATCGTGTCCGCCTACTAAGATACTTTGCACGCGCCCATCGATGCTATATCCCTTGCGTTAGCACTTCTCCCCCGATCACACGCGAAAGCGACAGGTGTGCGCAACATACAGATTATTATCCAGCGAGAGACACTGGTTATTATACGCGTCGACACTGACTTCGCTCAGGAACGAGGGCGCGGCGAAGAGCTGCACTTTGATCTTTGTGCCGCTGATGGTGTCGTCGGCTAGTACCGTGCCCGTCCAAGCTGAAAGCGACAGCAGCAGTGTGAGGCGGCTACTGGGCTTCATATCGGCGGCATGCGATGCGTCCGAGGCGTCGCGCGAGGAGTCGTGCGTTTGCGTGGGTAACAGGCGCGAAGTACAGGGCACGGTGGTCGGGGTAAAGCGTTCGTGACGGCGTCAAGGGCAGGCGTGCTCCCGGCGATGAGGAAAGGATGAAGTCGGTGGTGGATGACGGCGGGTGTGTGGGTCGGGGGTCAGGTGGGCGATGTGGTTGGGCGGAGTGGGAGGGATGCACCGCCTCCTCATTGCCGTTATGACCGCACGGACGTTTGCGACGGGTTCGTGACTGCCAATCTCCCTATAACCTCTGCGTAGCTTGTCTTCACGATGCGGCAATGCGATGCGCGATATATGTCGTCTCGGTACTAGATAGACTGCGAGCTTGTGCGATTAGACGGTGCGTATATGGCTAGTTCTCGAGTCCGGCTTCGCGACTTGACGTCACATGCTATTCCGCAACAATATTGCGCCTACATAGCTAGAACGACTTAGGGCCTGATCATGTTCACTCGAAAAGAGACCGAGGGTCTAAGGGCTATAACCCCAATGTCCTTATCACATGCTGTTTATTGCGAGAACTACAAGGCGGTAAATGTGCAGACATGTCGCAGAGCGTTCGATTCTGAAAATGCGGTTTCGACTATCTCGGCACAGTTAGTTCCCGAGGGATTGGAGCAGGAGATTGAGCGGACGGTGTTCGCTGTGAAGACAGTAGACGAGTAGTCATTACTATCATTTCGTTCTATCTTCTATGCAGTCTAAATGGCGATCACGATTACCAACACACCAATCTAAAACACATTCCTCGTACTGGTGACCTCGAAATCTGTAGTCACCATCACATTATCTTTCCCATCTTGCAAGCGTGACCCATCAGTGGTTCCAGTTGGTGTAGGGCTGGCTTTCCGGTCCAGAAAAGTCAATTCCATTTCATCGTCCATAGTGCCGCCCTGAATATTCGAGCTGTGCCCGTTGAAGTTGATACCTTTGCTACCAATGGTTTTGCCGGAGCCAGCTTGCAGATAGCCGGAGTTGCTGCGGTTGGATGAGGTAGCGGGTGTGGGTTTGATGATGAGTGCCTTTAAGGACGGGAGCGAGACGACGATGACGGCTGTGCACATTTCGGCCGTGCACCAAAGGTCTAGGGGCTGTTAGTGGAGGCTTGGGGAGGTGAGATGGGAAGGGTGACATACTGCCATCGGCGTCGGCGATGTCGTAGTCCATGTTGTAGACGATGAAACGGGCGAGACTGATTGCCATGGTGATGGCGCCTAGAGAAAAGATTCCGACCAGGCCGACCTTTTGTCTTCTACGCAGCTTCAAGCAGTTGAAGATGAAGAATGGCAGGCCGAATACTGGGAACAGCGTCAGCTCATAATTTGAAAGGTGAATTTGGGCTACTTACACAGCAGATCGGTGCCAAAGTTGAGTGTCCAGTTGACTACCAGATTGGAGTAGGTATTCCATGTTGAGTTGAGCTGGTTCTCGATAGACCTTTTGGAAAGTAGATGTTAGCCAAGGAACAACTTGGTCGAAGTAAGGGTAGAGGTTGTACCAGTTGTCTGAGATATTTGGCGCGAGAAGAGTATCGCACAGTATGCTCGCCACAAAGCAGGCGATCACGATCGCAGTAGTGGCATAGACTGCGTAACGAAGACGTCTGAAGCCTTGCGGGATCAACCACCAGTAGAAAGCCACCAGCGAAACTTTGGGGAAGTACAATCCCGTATCGAAGAAGTAGATAGACACGAATACGACCTAGCAGCAAACACCTGTCAGCTCACTCGTCTCGTTGCGTATCTCGAAGGTCATGTTTTTAACGTACTTTCAGGTATTCGACGGAGTCGCTCCTTGTCTCCTCGTCCAGAGGATGATCAATCAAGATGTAAAGCGCTCTTGTAGAGCAGGCAAACCATCCAAGCGCGCAGATGAAGCCTCCCCAAACGAGGTAGTCGGGTAGAGTCAATGAACGGTGCTCCATACAAAGACGGACCCAACATCTTAGTATCGTAACACCCAGTGCCAACACGAGGAGTATCCCCTGGATAACCTGTGGATGTGAGTGAGACTTCAAATCATTCGGGCTCGCGTAGTTCTTACTATAGAAGTGACTATCTCCATCGCGGCAGCATACACACACAGTATGTGTGGCCGGTGGAGTTTAAGTTCGCCCCAATGGGAACAAACGGAGAGAAGTGGTGAGTGAGGTCAAGTGCGAACTCTACTTGGGGTTGTTTGACATCTTGACACCTGCATATAGCGGGCAGCGCGAAGCCTAGGGTCAGGGTAGGTTAAAAGGGAGTGGTATGATCCGGCGTCTTGTGCTACACGTCGGAATCATGAGTCGCATAGTTCCAGGCGGCTGGTAGCGTCTGTCCCGTGCTGATCAGTAGTCGATCAACCGGCTCCGCGGCCACTGCGGGTGAGACGAACCCTTTTTTCCTTTTGCTTAACGGGCATGAGAAGCTTCGGTATTCTGCGAATACGAGCTTCGCACTGACGTGACAACGTTGCCCGAACGTCATGAGGTTATCGCAACGTTTGTACGCGCAAGATAGATAGCAGGTATCAACATGCCTCACTCTTATGGCGCCGCGTCTCGGACGTGAGCGGGAACATTCCCCGTCCCGTCCATAATTTATCTTAATCTTGCCGCGAGTTGTACAGTCTCTGTCGTCGGGCAGGCATCATGCATCCACGGAACTGACAAAGGGAGCTGAGCAAACAATGAAACACCAGTACCATACCAACACATCACTAGAAGAAGCCGAAGCAGCTCGAGAACTTCTGAGCCGCGAATCGGGACACTCGAATGCACAGCGAACGTGGTAAGCTAAGTGCGGGCGCCGTCACGAAGTGCTTGAGTCCATCAGTGTCCTTGGTTGAGCTTGTCGTGGAGCTACCGCACGCTATAGAGCTGTCCTGGGATATCCTCGTGGCTTCTGCCCAGCCGGTCCAATTTTGCGTTGAGACAGCCTCGTGGCGATGGACGACGCACGCTTGACTCGCGGCAGGGTCAGATAGCATTCCAACGACTTGGCGATTTCGCGGGGTTGCCTCCGATCAGCATGCAATCCCTCGGAGTGGTCGCGGTCGACTTTCCCTCGACGTCGTCGGTCCTTCTTCACTCATGAAGCGACTGGGAACCTGCGTGCGCGTCTGACACGCCGTAGGCTAAATGTCTTTAATTTGCGATCGAAGGCGTTCCGTAGCGCCATGGTGGATTCCTTGTTTCTCCAAAAGCCCCGACCCTAGATTCCACAATCATCGCGCACTGATCTACAGATCTCTGTGGAGTGGGCCAACGGACCCGTGGAGATGGCCTGGATCAGAGGTCGAGGGTACAGTACCCTTGGCAAAATCAGCGTCTGGTGTCGCAGCCATGCTCCGACCCTCCAGGGGCTCTGCGCTAGAGGGGAATGACGCGACATCAGCAAACCTTATACAGTAGGGCCAACTGTGCCACTTTGACATCTGGATCATGTCAATAGGCTTACAGATTTCCAGATAAATGAGCTTGGTATGGAGCGCGAGATTCCTCGGCACAAGATATCTCGGCAAAGTCAAGAACATAATGCGCGACTCTTAATCGCGCCATTCTGGTAAGTCGCCTTGAGAGGGGAGCGCAAACTGGTGACGCTTGTATATCCTCCTTGGGAACAAGACAAGATCCAGGTATCGTCGCGATGTAAGAGCAGGATGTGGTAGAAAGCGGTCCAACCCAGCCTGCCACGCAATGCAGGCCGTCGCAGCTTCCTAAATTGAGATGACGACGAGCTGATATCATCAAGAGGATTCGAACAGTTCAAAAGTAGCTCTTTTCGACCATGGGAGCCGATAGAAGACATTCGATGCGATACAGAAAAGATGGCGGTGGTTCTGGTGTTCTGGAGATTATGGACGGCATTGGTGATGACGGCACGCACGAAAGACCTGGTCAAAGCTCCTCGCTGAGTAACTGCACCCGTGCACTCGTCCCGATTCATCCCGCCTCAGAGGAAGGGACCATCATAGGGCATCCAGCGTGTACAATATCACTGAGGCTCCCATCGCCGATATATCTTCTCTGCCTCAGAACTGAGCCGCCCTCGAGACGCCCTTGTCGTGGCTGCCTTGCCGCTTCGTTGCTTCCTGCTACTTGGTCCGACCCTCCCGCAATGCAGGTCTCCTTAGCAGCCGCAGCGCAATAGTGTATACGACAATAGTAACGAGGCTCGCGCTCGCCCACGTCCCGTAGGACTGAAAGTATGTGAGATCCCTCTGCTTGTAGCCAGCAATTTGCATCGAAGTCGTTCGCAAAAGCCCGGTGAGAGAGCCGATGACCAGATAGTCCTTCAGACCAACATTGGCAAGATCCATCTCCACTGCGCGCTGATATGGCGGGAAAGAACGCGTTGTTGGAGGATAGGTAAGCAACTAACGACCTAGCAGTGGCTTGGAAGGTTCTGATGACAATATGTTCGCGGCAGTGGCATCTGAACGATCGAGATAAGCGTGGTGGATGTGGGCTTCGGAATTTCGGTTCTCCATGCAGGGCTGAGGCACTCCTAGCTTGGCAACTTGAGAACAAAGAAACACCCACCGATCACTTTTCATATCGGCGCTACGGCATGTTGACAATGCTCCCCACGACAAGAGAGAAGTTCACAAACGACGAGCGGCGGAAAAGAGCGTTGACGCGACATCTATGGCAGCCGAATTGAGAGCATCCCGAAGTTCTCCGCCCACGTGCTGCATTCACGAACCTAATTCGCTTATACCGCATGCTCATCTCGCACTCCCAGCCAAAGTCCTCCAGAGGCTGCGATGAACGCCCCTTTGCGGCCATGATCCCAGTGTTGGACGGCTTTCCGTGCGCCGGCACCACAGCCCGCTTGCGCCTTTGTCAGGGTCTCGGAAGCCAGTCTTCCACCCGGTAGTAGTGAACGCCTGAAATGTCACTTTTAGTGACAAGGCTGGATTAAAGCATGCTGACAAGCAATCAAACATCAATGCCGGGAACACTTTTACCCCGCGCTCTCCTGGCATCCCTCACCACCTGGCAGCGCTTCATCGCAGCCAATACAGCTACATCAATCTCGAACAAAGAGCTTAAGAAACAATGGCGGTGCAGCAAGAAGAGCAGCGATATGCAGACGGCTTTGCTGAGTACGGCAACTTCTATGGCGGACCATCCTTCGAATACCTTGCGCCCCACCCGTCGATATCTCCAACAATAACAGGGAAGGCTGACGAGAATGTCACTTATCTGAACCATACTCACAAGGTGCCGCAAAAGCGGCAAGAGGCAGCAAGTCTTCCGTTGGCATCTTCCATTGCTGGGTCTGGGGCCAGTATCGCTATGCAGCCACTCACAGCCGATGGCATATCTCTCAAGTCTGGCAACGTCTTCTCACCACTGCGCGAAGGACCACTACTATCGCATAACCCTCAAATGGAACCCTTTCCTGAGCCCCCAACCGATGGATTCTCCCGACCCCCAGGAAGCAAAGACTCGCAAGCTGTTCGGCCACAATTCCCACAACGCGCGTCGAAGTCTTCTCCACCACAGCCTTTACGATTTCTGAAACATGCATCAACAGTCCCCCCTACTCCTCCGATGTCTTGGGGAAGCAGCGATAGCACTGAAGATGGTCTGTCAGACAGGATGCAATCCATGTATATCGCTTTCGATCATCCTCCGCCCTCCACTTCGACACCACAACCACTGCAGGTCGTCCATGGCATTTCTGAGCGTGTGAGCACTGCCTACATGGCGAATGGTAATCGCAGCTCTAGCATGGGCTCATCCGTATTACCAGATTTACCTGGGGGGCTAGATCAGTCATCACGAAGAAATATCTCTATATCCACCACGCAAAGTATAGAGAGTGAAGCATCCGACATGAGTCCCGGCGATGCTCGAGCTGAGATACTGCGCAGACTGAGCAGGAAGGAGCCGCCATCAGATCGGAAGGGTGCATCTCCTTTCAAGAAGAGCTTCCTACTCAAAAGAGCGGCTACTACGCCAAATTCAGCTAGTGGTCCATCACAAAACGACCTGACCGATATTCTCGAAGAAGCTGCTGCGGAGGGTAGTCTTTCACTGGTCAGGGCAGTCATCAGTATGGGAGCTGATCCTATGTATCGATCAACTAGTAAGTTGAAGAAGGTAAAGCACGAGGCCCTAGCGAAAGCTACCATGAACGGACGAGCCAGAGTGGTCGACTATCTCTTGAGAGAGGGTGCCACTTACGGAGACGCAACGAAGAGAGAAGACTACACTCCAATGGATCGCGCGCTCTTGGCGGCTGCCTACAAGGGACATGCAGACCTCATCGATTGTCTTGTATATCATGGCGCAAACCCAATGGTCGAGCAATGGCCAAGAGAGATGTATGACGCGCAGCACTATTGGAATGAGATCCAGGTTCGTGTTACAAAGACCAGCTTCCTTGATGGCCTATCAAAATGGAAAAATGTCGATCGCGGTATGAGTACCCTCAAACTCGTCATGCAGCATCAAAACTTCGATCCTACAGCCTTCGTTTCAGGCGCATTCGACAACAAGAGCGAAATCAAGAACGCCGGTGTCACAAATCGCCCGTGGCAGATGACGTACGAGTACTCTGTTCTGTCTTGCTTCGTTCGTGCCGGATGGGCAGATGCAGTGGAAGAGATGTTGAGCATGAAAGGCATGCCGAGGGACTACGAGAAAGAAGACGATGTTTTGCTGCACCAAGAAAAGCTTACAAGACTCGTATCACCAATTAACGCGTTGACCAAAGAGACCTGGGATAAGCGACCGGAAGACGCACTCCGCATACTAAGGCTACTGATCGACAGAGGCTTCAATCTATGTCTCACGCAACGGACGGCTACAGATCTGGGCCCAAGGACAGCGCTCAGCCGTGCGATCTCAGCAGACGCTGCACAGGCGGTCGAACTCATCTTGCAGACCAAAGGCAGTTTGGTACGAGAGGAAATCTCCTTCCGACGAAACAAGAAAGAGACCAAAGCACTGTCACTCGCCACTGCCCTCGCACTCGACTCGCTGGAAACAGCTCGCGTACTTCTCAGAGCAGGCGCACATCCCCGCGACGCAGCTTTCGAAGACATGAACGTCCTGCAGTTCGCCGCGTACCAAAGCAGTCCGACCAACACTACAATGCTCGAAGAGATGATCGGCCTCGCCCCAGAACTAACCTACGATGCCTTGAGCTACGCCATAAAGGGCTCCAACAAAGACGCAGTGCGCGTCCTTCTCAACGCCATCTCCGCAGCAGCCCTGCGCGAACAAATCGCCGCTCTACCACCCATATACGACATGCTGCTGCACTGCACTCCCCCCACCAAACATGAAGTTCAAATCCAGTATCTTGAGCTCATCGATATGGTGGTCCAATGGGATGTTGGATATGCGTTGCAGCGACCCAGGCTTTCGGCGATTTTGTCGGCGATTCGGAAAGACAACTACATCGGCATGGAGAAGTTACTCCAGAACGGCGTGGTGGATGGCAGGAGTTTGGTCTTGAACAGCAAGGCGCAGCCGTGCGGCGAGTTGGGGACATGGACTATGCTCGAGTGCTGCGAGTTGACGGATAGGAGTTCGGAGTGGTTGGGTTTGCTGAGGAGTTATGGGGCGCCGCTGTATCATTGATACTTACTGATATCCTGCGTAAAATGCTTTATAAGTGCGTCAACCTCGGGCTTCCGTCCCCATTTCCCCTTGTACTTGCCACCTTGCTGCTTGATTCGCTCTTTCTTCGTTTCAGCAACCCAATCTCCGCGAAACCTCTGTCTGGGCTTAGCTTCTCCCTCTTGTGCCATCTTCCTCTTCGTGCTTCCTTCTCGCCCGTTGACATGTCCTTGGTTGACTGGATTGGCCGCGACCCACTCCTCGAGCTGCGGTCTGAGCTTGGGGCCCCAGACATTTTCACCAACATCCAAATCATCGTACGGAATCGCAGCGGTGTCCTCCGGAAACGGAGAAGGCTGGAGCACAAAATTGGCTTGCACTTCGCGCTTCAGCGCAGCCATGTGCGAAACGGTATGGCAAGCGACGCCTAGATCGTGCGCAAAGCTCCGAACGTAGAAGCCAGAACACACCTTCAATCTGATCCGCACCGCGGGTGCTGGAGCGGGTTCCTCTTCGCCGGGGAACGCGAAGTCATGCTGTCCCGCATCATACCATTCGAGTAGGTCACACCTCTTCACTTCCATCTCCCTACTTTCCAACGCCTGAGGTAATTCCTTGCCCTGTCGTACATACTCACAAGCTTTCATGCCGTTGATCTTTAGCGCAGAGTACACGGGTGGAACTTGCTGAATCGTCCCGAGAAAGTTGGGCAGTTGTTCCTCGACAAGCTGACGGGTCACGTGCGAGGCGTCTGCTCTTGTCTTCATAGTCCCAGTACAGTCGTAGCTGTCGGTACTCATACCGAATAGAATGGTGGTGTCGTAGCTTTTGTCACATGCTAGGTACTGTGAGAGCGATCTTGTGCCACGCCCGATGCCAACGATGAGCACGCCGGAGGCTAGGGGATCGAGCGTGCCGCCATGTCCTAGGCGGAATACTTGGTCGGAGGATTTGCTGGTACGTTTCGGCTGGTGTCTGCGCAGTGGCGCGAATGTATCTGAGGAAGCGAATGTTGACTGGAGTTTAAGAAGCACGTCTGCTGAGGAGACATTCGCAGGCTTCACCACGGCTATACAGAGTTAGTAACAAGGTACGGGCGGGAGGCGAAGATATCACTTACCGAAAACACCTTCGAGAACTTGTTCATGTTGCTCCGCAACAGCTTTGCCGTTTTCGTCTTCCATCGTATCGCAAGTCACGTTATGTCGCGTCGTGAACATCCGGTCCTGTTGCGCTAGAGGGAAGAATTGTCTAGATCGCGGGGCTAGCGCGTTCTGAAGTTCGCCCCACCTCACGCCCTACGCCTTGCATGCCTCGCAATATCTAGCAGTCGGCCAGAGACAGCCCGAGGTTCTTTGCGGTGTACTGCATTCGCTTGCTAACCTAGATCTATACGCGATCACTTGGTAAAGGTTGCATCGGTAGCGGCGCCGACTTCGGGCTGACGCCTTCATCGTACCTCCATTTCCAGCCATTGTCGTCATCTCCAAAACAACACTCGCGACTTCTGGAGCCATGGATCATCAACAAGTGAACAACTGGAACTTCCAATCATGGAACGAAGATACGATCGACCCTTCGTGGTTCGACAACTTCCTCGCTACAGATGTCGGCCAGGGTGCGACTAACGCTGTATCTGATGCTCCTGCCGCATTCAGCATCGACGACGACTTGGCGATCGACCCGAACTTCCACGACTTTACGTTAGATGATACGTTACAACCGCTGAGTGGTATGACTTCGCCAAGTTATCCATTCGACGCGTACCAGCCGACTGAGTTTCACGAGCGCCCACAGCCGCAGCGTCATCACACACTCCCTCGCCGTCGAAGCAAGTACTTTAAGCGAAGGTCAACGGGCACTGTCAGCCCGATGGTAATACCGAGTGGAAGTCCTCGACACGAAGAGGGTCAGTCACTGGCCATTCAGCGCTGGCGGAACTCGCCGCCTGAAGACGAAGCCGCATCTCTGTCGGCTATCTACCATGCCTTGGAGGACAGGCCTATAGGCCACTCACCACGTATCAGTCGGCCCTCCAGCGGCGATGCGTTCCGCAAGTATCGCGGCCCTTCCTCTACCACGAGTCTCGATAGCGCTGCAAGCGAATCCTCATTACGATCCGCGAATTCGAGCCGCTCCGCCACGTCGCAATCGAAGCGTCGCAGTCAAGCAAAGACAAGAAGCAAGGGAAGAGTCAGAGGCAATATGCTGGACCCTGATCGTATATTCAAGTGTACCTTCTGTTGCGACACCTTCAAGCACAAGTACGACTGGAAGCGACACGAGATATCGCTACATCTAAACCTCGAAAGCTGGATGTGCACGCCGCATGGAGCTTCTGTGGTGCTACCTCTTACGGGTAGAGTACACTGTGCCTACTGTAGTGCACTGGATCCAACACCCCAGCATCTGCAGAAACATAATCACGCGGCATGCACGGACGGCAGCAACAGCCCGCGTATCTTCCACCGCAAAGATCATCTCACGCAACACCTTCGTCTAGTCCACGGACTCGAAACGCTACCTCTCATCGACGACTGGAAACTTGAGACTCTGCCAGTGACATGTCGCTGTGGTATATGCAATGCCAATCTAAGTAGTTGGGATGAGAGAGCAGACCACCTCGCCGCACATTTCAAAGAGGGCAAAACCATGGCCGATTGGAAAGGCGATCACGATTTCGAACCGGCTGTGGCTGCCCGTGTCATCAATGCGTTTCCACCCTACCTACTGGCCGAACAAGCGAAGACTGTCGTACCCTTCTCTGCCACGAATCCCGGATCCATCGATCATACAAAGCAAATGATTTCGCAGATCCAACGGGAAGAATATCAACGGGAAGAAGAGCCAGTCCAAGAGTCTCCGAAAGAGGTTACCCAGACACCGGACCATCAAGCTTTTGAGGACTCTTTAGAAGCTCTCCGAAACCTTTCTACGCAGCACGATTATGACTTTGCGAAGGTTTTGACGCGCCATCTTAGTCGCTTTGCGAGACAGCAGATGTTGTCGGGTATTATACCGACGGATGAGATGTTTCAACGCGAGTCGCGGAGGTTGTTATACCAGGATGCGGATGATGCGGTGAGGAAGCGAAACGACCCATTGTATACCAGACAAATGCTAACATGTACGCTAGTGGAACCAAACAGTAGCAGACAACCCGAATTGGTTGCAAGATTTTCGCCGTCGCAGTGGGCTTGAAGGAAGCCCTAGTACATCATGATGCCAATGCCACTTTAGAGCGATACCGAACAATTCTTCTACTTGTTCCCCAGACCCTTCCTGTGCCAATCGCGATCTTGAAATATTGCGATCGCCTTTCATCAAATGGTACCACCTTGCAGAGTCACTTGATCTTTAAGGTAGGACAGATCAACACTGCTCACCTCCCCAGCTTCTTCAAAGAAGCGCAAGGCGCGATTACCAGTCCAAATAGGATTCTCATCACCTGTAACGTCGTTAGCTCTTCGCTATAGCTGAGATGCTATCCAAGAAAAGGTCTCACCAATCCAGTGCCCAGCCTTCGGAATCAACTCAGCAACAAAGTCATCGCCAACCTGCAACCATACCTGTTCCAACAGCGACACAGGCCCAAAGCTCGCCTCACCACCCAGCGCCAACAACGGCATCTGCAACCTATGTCCACTTCCAAACACGGAATTAAAGTACGCCTCGTCCTCCCACGCCGCTGCGAAGTATTCCATGCCGCTCCTCAAAAACCCCGGTTTCGCAATCTCATTCGTATACCGCTGCAAGTGGTCTTCACTCACGGCCGCCGTACCGGAATAACTCGCGTGGAAAAAGTACCAACTCAACATCTGTTTCTCGCGGTCCCGGATAAAGAACTCGGCTGCATCAGGCACGGCAAAGAAGGCCAGCTGCCAGTTCTGGTACAAGCTGGGACTCTGAACTGTTAAGGGATATCCATATCCTGGGAGTGCGTATTCAGCGAGTATGATAGCTTTAACAAGCGAAGGATGTTCGATAGCGAGGGATGTCGCCAACCCCACACCCTTGTCGTGCGCAAAGACGTAGGTGGATGTGATGTTGAGGTAGTCTAAGATGGCTTTGAGGTCTGCGCCCGCGGCTGCAGCGGTGTAGTTCTTCGAAGTGGGGATGGACGAGTCGCCACATCCGCGGATGTCTGGGGCGATTACCGTGTCTGCCTTCCACATTAGCATATGATGCTCTCATCACCGACGATGTGCGAAGACGTGCAGTTTTGAGCCAGTATTGGACCGATGGTATGCCATGTGAGTGAGTGTTGGGGGAAGCCATGTACGAGCAGAACGGGTGGTCCTTGGCCGTGGTAGCGGAAGTGAATCGAGACATCATCTAGTTGAATGCGCTCGTGTTCCCAGTCATCGAATTTCGATAATTGCGCGAACGTAATTTGTGGTATAGCGAACACAAAAGCGCCGATGATGGTAGTGAGCTTCATACTGCAGGGTAGAGAGATCCGCCGTAGGTTACCAGAACCCCGTCAACATGCGCAGCTTTATCTATGTTCACATTCCCGCAGTCGTCGATATCTTCAAGGCCATGCAGTAGGTCTCCTACGCCTTCTTGGCTCGAAGCGCTGTTGCTTTACTACTCTTTCCTATTGCGCTACTCGATCGTCTTGGCAGGGCACAAGAACGCTGACTGAGCTTACACGATGCATCGGACTTAAGCATCTAGCTTAGTAAAATTGATGCATCGCCAAGTCGGGGCGGGCGAACAGTGGGAAGATATGCACAGTCGGGGTAACAGTTGTTCAGAATGGGTGTCCATGGGACCACACGTCTACACGGTACGCTTCAAATGCGCTTTTCCAAGGCCATCAATATCTTGTCCTATCAAGGAAACTACAGCCTTATACTGATTCATGTGCATCTTATGAGGAGGTACATAGCTCTTCATTGGGTCGCGGAGAGCATGCAGTCAGGAGTGGTCCAACGAGTCAAGCTCATATTCCGACGCCGTGGTTGAAAGCATGTAGACACAATGAAGACTTACGTATCGCACACTCTGTCGCATGGCACCTTCCTGCATACCATGTTTATAATCATCGAAACCACTGAATTGTTACTCCTACTGAACGCCGCATCCATGCTCATATATCTAGCCAACGCCACCAGTATGCAAACCCCACCCAATGAACCATATGCCCACGAACCATCACGACCTAACCTTCGTATCCGCATCCGCAACCCTCCTCACCAACCCCCTAATCTTCGGCCAAAGTTCCGGAATACGAAAAGGTTTCGAAATCGCATCGTCCATCCCCGACGCCAGCGACTGTTCAATCTGCTCCATACGCGCATTCGCACTCACAGCCAGGATGGGCAGACGAAGTGATTGCTTATCCGGCCGCTCATGCGACGCCGAAGACGTAGATGAAGTCTTCTTATGACAAGCCCGACCCGACGAAGGCACCCCCGGAGTTGGTGGTGCAGCAAGAAGACCCTGGTGTTCGTAGTCGCGGATAAGGCGGGCGCAGGTAAGGCCATCCATGATGGGCATTTCTATGTCCATGAGAATGATGTCGAGGTCGTGTTTCTTCTCCGGCTTGGAACTGTCTTCCTCGTTGCGCCAGTATACGCTGTCTTTTAGCCATTCCAACGCTTCTTGGCCGTTACCTGCTACACTGATGTTCCAGCCGAACTTTTGCAGTTGCTTCCTAAGCACCTTTTGGTTGACGAGGTTGTCTTCTACGATGAGTACGTTGAGTCTGATCGATTGCATGGCTTCTTCGCCTGTCATGGTACGACGAGGGACGGGCCGAGCTTGCACGGCGCGCGCAGAGACTTGGTCGGCTGGTGGGTGCGCGAGGCGGGTGCTGATGAAGAAGGCGAATGTTGAGCCTTGCTCTTTCTCGGAGTGGACGCCGATGGCACCTCCTTGTAACTTCGTAAGCGATTTGGAGATGAAGAGGCCGAGCCCTGAACCGCCGTATTTAACGTGCGTGCGTGGTGTGGCTTGCGAGAATCGGGAGAAGAGTTTCTTTTGCTCGTCTGTGGTCATACCACAGCCGGTGTCTTTGACCTTCAGCCAGAGGAATGCTACTTTACCTTCGCCCCATTCAGCTTTGTCGGTGATGTCTGTCTTGGGCTTCTCATCGTCGGTGAAGGTTATCTCGTTCCAGCACTTAGGTGGACGGGTCCAGGAGCCACCGATAGTGACGGTGATGGCTTTTTGAGGGCGGTCTTTGGTGAATTTAATGGCGTTGGTTCTGGTATTGTTAGCGGAGGGTATGCGACATGGAGATGAGAATCTTACAGTAGATTGATGAGGACTTGCAAGAGGCGCGAGGGGTCAAGCATCGTCCAATCCATGCCATTGAAAGTCTCATCAATGAGGAAAGCGAGCTTAATGCCCGCCTGGTTGCACTCGACATCGAACATGCGCACCGCATCCGATACCACCACCGCGGGCTGCACGCGCATTGGCGTGATCAAGATCAAGTTAGAATCAAGTTTCGACAGGGTGAGCACGTCGTCAATAACGCGTTTTTGGTGCATCGAACATGACACGATGATCAGCAGCGATTCGATGCAGCTCTGAACTTCTGCTTCTGCCTTGGATGTTTCGGACGAATCTTTCGATGCTATGATTTGGCGTCTGGATAGTTGTTGGAGCGAAGCGATAACGGAGTCGGCGCATTGTATGACTGCCGACAGTGGATCTAGATGTTGGCAAACGACGTTAGCGGTGGCTCGTATATCTTGTGCAGATGCGTTACTCACTCCTGAGTTCGTGCGAAGTCATATCAATGAAGCTGGACTTGTCAACAAGAGTCGATTGCAGAGCGCGCAGTGAAATACTTTTCTTGTTGTCGTTTTGCTTCCAGCGCTTCGTGAATGCGGCGCCGCTGAACGCTTTCAGCCCACTTGAACTGTGATATGTCGAATAACGTCCCCATAATGCCTACAGGGATTAGCATATGCATGATGAAGAATGCAGAAAGGCATCATCTTACTTATCACTTTGCCGTTCTCGTCCAGCTCTGGGCAACTTGAACTTTGCACCCATATATTCGAGCGAATACCATCTTGATTGACCCAAGTCTTGTTCAAACGAAATTGTATACCTTTGGCTTTACCGCTCGTGAGCATGTTCTCCCAACCTTTCTTGACTTTTTCGACATCCTCCTTAGCGATGAGGTTAAACCAGTCGTATTGGCTGACTGAACCATGTGGATGGCCAGTAAGCTCGAAGAAATGGTCATTGACGAAGTTCATGCCTATATCAAGATTAGCAAATACTCTGCGATGAGCCGATCCCACATACCACCCTCAGGTATGTACACGTATATAGCGGTAGGGGATACTTGGGCAAAGCGCGCAAATTTCATTTCCGCCAGCCGCGCTTGTTCGAGTGCTTCGCTAGAAATGGAATCAGTATGTTTACATCAGGCATGCTGCAAATCAACCTTACACTTGTGCTTGTGCTGCCTCTTGCGACTTCTTTTGTGCGTTGATGTCCACGGTATTGCCGGCAACACCGATCAATTTCTTGTCATCATCGAAGACCGGAACACAAGCTGAAAGTACCCATTGCGCGGCGCGTTCCGTTCCTGTGGGTGCCTTCCATCGCATCTCGAACGTAACGGATTTTCCCTGCGAAAGCTTATTCCACATGGACATGACCAGTGCTTGGTCATCGGGGTAGACAAGATCCATGAATGAGAACTCGTCAGGATTGACGTTTTTGGGGTGGGAGCTGGGACTTGTCAACGCCGTGAAACATCGTGTTGTGGTTGTAGTTACCTCAATTTATACCATGCCTCATTAGCATGCAAAAGCTTTCCCTCTGCGTTGTACTCAAACACTCCAACATCGCTCATCTCCATCATAGTCTGGATACTTTCCCACCTGGCATGAAGGTTCGTATACGGAATGTTCTTGAGCGATATTGATCTATCGCGCTTGAGGTCATTGATGAGCTGTGCTTTTGATCGTGTAAAGACTGGCGCTCGAATCATAGTGAGATGATCGTCATCGTCTGCTTCTTCCTCCAAGGAAGGCGCTTCTTGCTGCTGCGCGTCGGATCCTGTCGCTCTCACTAGCTTGAAGCCACCATTTCTCCCTGCCAGTTCTGCGGTCCAAACATGACCACCGAATTCATATCGAGGTTTGTATTCACCCAGTGCTTGCGCCCATGAGCGGAACAGGAGTGATGCTCTTTCCTCGGCTAGGATGGAGTTGCAGAGAGGGAGTCTGCGAAACGCTTCATTACAGAAGACAAACTCGAATTCAAGAGCTATCTCACCCGCTCTGATGACGAACAGTGGTGCGGCATCAAATTCCAGATCCTCTAGGTCCAGCAGGCGCCTGTGGGAGGGCTCGGCCGACGGCATCTCGGATGGGTCGTAGTAACCCTCGACGGGACATAGACGAAGGATAGGCGATTGAAGTTTGGCGTAAAAGATGATGATCGGTAAATGCTTGGTCTCAGCGCATAATGCAAGATGCGGACGTAGCAATGCGACGGAAAGGGCGGTGTCCAGCAAGTGTGTCGCGATGAAGCTGCACGGGCAAGGCAGACTCGCTACTGGGGAAGTCAAGACCACGCTATATTCTCAAGTGGCTTTGCAATTGATATCCAGACTATGGATGTGGCGTGTATAACTCGGATGAGAATTGAGTGAGTTGGTGCGTTGTTTGTGGTAGCGTACCGGCTTACCCTAGGTGTGTGAGCCCGGAAAGAGCACCGGTGAAGTACCCAATGTGCGGCATTGCAGCTGCTGTATGTCCCTGAAAGTGGGGTCAAAATCGGACCGTTCTAGTTCTCGATGCCCGCAGTTTCTCACTAAACGTAGATGCACCGGATATCGGATCAGCGTACAGGAGAAGGAAACGTTCTCAGTGATTGGTCAGTGTGGCGAGTGTAAAGCTTTGATCTGGCCGCTAGTTCAATCTCGAACGCGGGAGGAATTGAAATAGCGAAAGCGAATCCTTCAGGGTCTGAAAGATCTTCGATTTCGGCGCAATGCTCCGCTACCAACTGCTTCTTTTGGAGACAATGATATTTACTCACATCCCACGCGAGTGCCAACCCAGGTGGCCTCGCAGCATTTCGGCGTGGCACACCGGGATGACCGTCCCAAAGTCGAAGGCAACGTCGTTAATCCCAGACATACGTGCATAATAGTCAAAGAGTACCTTGGCGGATGTCCCGAGAGGGTGAAGTAGGTGATGGTGATTCTCACTCAGCTTGAGGAATGGGGCCGTCACTAGCAGATGTCGCCGTCAGAGCAACGCAGCCTCGACCTGACAATGCACAGTCAAGAGATTCAGCCAGCTGTATGCATGACCATTGAGGGTCTTGGGGGAGTGCATTGTCCGTTATCGTCCCTCTTCGCGAGCTGCACTGCAGGTGCCCAGGTGGTGACACGTCTAATCACGTGCTAGCGCGCTTTTGATCCCTTGGCGTGTAACCCTGGGTTTGGGTCAAGTCGCGACTGCCACGCATTGGTGACACCGCGACCTTCCCCAGCAATCGCCAATCGCGGTCGCATTTCCAAGATTTCGAACTACTACAGGTGTTCAGCCATCGCTTGATACGCTGACATGAGCGACGATGAGTTTGGCTGGTCTTCGGGTGACGAAGAGCAGTTCGCTGCTAGTACAAACGTTGCGCCTGATGGAAAGCGTAAGATCGCCAACGACAGCGCAGACATTGAGTCTTTAACCAAACGGAGTCGACATAAGGAGAACACCACCGATGCGCCATCGGCCAGCAAAATCCTCGCAAACAACATCCTGAAAGGACGCTTCGGGCTGAATGGCTTTCGGCTCGAACAGGAAAGAGCTATTACCCGCCTCCTTGATGGAGGAAGTGCAGTTGTTGTATTCCCCACTGGAGGTGGCAAGAGTCTCTGCTACCAGGCGAGTCCTGTCTTTTGAAATCAGAATTCGTCTAACTTTCCAAGGTGCCTGCTGTGGCGTTCAGATATCAAGACGAAGAGCTTGGTCGCCGGACGCGTGAACAAAGTGGCGTCACTCTAGTCATCGCGCCACTCATTGCTTTGATGAAGGATCAGGTCGACGCCCTCTTGCGCCGCGGTATCAAAGCTGCCGTACTGAACTCATCCATCTCTCGCGACCAATTCCTGGCTACGCAAGACGACCTTAAGAAGGGGCATTTAGATCTGATATACTGCGCACCGGAACGCCTCAATAGCGAAGGTTTCATTGCGTCGCTCAAAGATATTCCCGGAGGTATCCGTCTGCTAGCCGTGGATGAAGCGCATTGTATCTCAGAGTGGGGCCACTCATTCCGTCCCGATTACCTCAAGATTGCTCGCTTCGCAAAAGAAGCACAAGTTGAGAGAGTCGTGTGCTTGACAGCTACAGCCACACCGAAAGTTGCCGAAGACATCCGGGATGCTTTCTCCATATCGAAAGAGGGCCTGTTCAGGACGACCATGTACCGTCCCAATCTACGTCTTCTTGCCGAGGCGAACGGAAAAGACGCCGATTACGTGTCGAAACTTGCTGCTCACGTCAAAAAGTACCCAGGTCCTACCATCGTATATGTGACGGTTCAAAAAGGCACAGAGATGCTGGCCGCAGAATTGAAGAAGCGTGGCTTCAACGCCAAGTTCTATCACGCCGGAATGCCTGCACCATTGCGCACGAAAACGCAAGACGAGTTTCTGGCTAGCACTGACATGATCGTTATCGCAACAATCGCATTCGGTATGGGTATCGACAAACCAGACATTCGTAGCATTGTTCATTTCGACATACCTGACAGCATCGAGTCTTACAGTCAACAAATCGGCAGAGCTGGACGAGACGGAAAGCCGAGTACGTGCATGTTCTACCTCTCGACGAAAGATTTCTACCTCCGCAACATCTTCACCTACGGCGACCGGCCTTCGCTCCGCTCATTGAAGCTCTTGATGCAGGATATATGTTCTCCTGCTCGCTCGAAGCTCAAAGCAGGTGATACTTTCCAGCTCTCATTGTATACACAAGGGCAGGCAACCGACATCAAAGCGATCGTTCTTAGTATCCTGTACGCGCAAATGGAGTTGAACTTTGGGCTCTTCCGTTCTGCTGGAGCTATGTACGCGAAGTATTCGTACATCACGAAGAACCCGAATCTCGTAAAGAATGATGGCTCATCCGCAGCTTCCGCTATCGTCAGAGCATCCGTCCAGAGTAGTAAATGGACGCACGTCGCCTTGGACGACCTAGCGAACTCATCCAATATACCTCGAGCAGATCTAGTGCGCAAAATGGACGAATGGAACGAGCGCGGCGCGATCGAGCTGAAGAAAGAAGGTGTGCAGAACATTTACCGCCTTGAACGTCCTTTACCATCTACACCCGAAGAGATCGACAAGATCGTCGCGCAGCTGGACGAAACCATGGAGAAGACCGAGAAACAAAATCTCGCACGCACGAAAGCCCTCATCAATCTCATCACCGACAAACGCTGCCTGTCTAGGTCACTCGCAGACTACTTCGGAGAGAGCACTGATATAGCAGAGGAATGCGGGCATTGCACGTGGTGCGAGACTCATACGCAGGCCATACTGCCTGATGAGCCGCCTCAACCCCCTGACCCAGCTAAGATCCAACAAGTACTGAAGGCAGTCAGCGTACGTGATGACCCTAGGTTTCTTGCTAAGTTCGCTTTTGGTATCAAGAGTCCGCGTATGAGTGCATTGAAGGTGGACAAGAATCCGGCGTTTGAGTCGATGAATGTGTGCGATTTCCCTGAGTTGTTGAGGGTGTTTACAGAGGCTTGCGAGAAAGGAGGGAAGAGAGGAAAGGCTTGAGCATCAGCGCAATGAATCTCTTGAAAGAATGGTCTTGGTCCCTTGCAAAGATACCCGTCTATATGAATGGAATCACATCTGGTCTTATTCAAAGCGTTTCGAAGAGAAGAATTCCATATTTACATTCATACAGAGTGTATAGCGTGTATCGTGATATCTACGCATGTCGTGTGTCCACCTCTCAAGCCCTCTACAACTCCTTCTTCAACTTATTCGCCTCCGTCTCCTCCTTCCTCAGCTCCTTAACGCCCGTCGCCGGCCTCCCCTCCACCGCCTTCTCTCCACCGAACGTCTTGAACGCATTATAAAACAGCCACTCCGTCGCATGCTCCACCGGCTCGTCGAAGATGTAAGGCAGGAAAGGTACACCCGCGAGACCAAGCTATCGTATCGTTAGTATCTTACTCCCCTTCCAATCTACTTCGACAGAACCACTTACCCCAATAGGCCCCCACGTCCTCAACGTCTTATTCTTCGCATCCTTCAGCGCACGCCCAGAATACCTGACTATACTGTGAATAGTAAAAGCCGGCAGACCCATAGACGCAACAGCCTGGAACACAGCCCTTTGTGCCATAACAGCCCTGTAATCCTCAATCGCCGGTATCCTCCCGCCAACCACCTGCCCACCCGTCAACGCACTCCCCGCATCCCCATACTTGACTCCCTCCGTACTCGTCGCCTGCTTTGCAGCCTCCTGCACCTTATCGAATATCCCCGCCGCATTACTCTTGCCACCCGTCGCCGCCATATCCCTATCCTTACTCGTCGCGTTCTCCAGGCTCTTCTCTGCAGCGTCGTCCATGTACTTTTCCGGGTGCAGTATGCGCTGGTTGCGAACGTACGCTTTGTAGCCTTCGTGCGAGACGTCACCCATGAGGTAGAGCCAGGAGATACCGTAGGCGCCTTTTACGAGGTAGGGATGTGCGATGGGGCGGAAGGATTCGCCTATGTCGGAGGTGTAGGCTACGTAGCGGTGGGCGGAGAGCATGATGGTGCGGATGCGCGAGGCGTAGGCGGCGTAGCGGAGGGAGGTGTCTGTTGTGTCTTCACCTCTGGGAATAGGTTAGCTATCTATATCCTGTAGAGGAGGAGAGAGCAGGCGCATTGCTGGTCGTGAAGTAGGGATTGAGGATGTATACATACTCGCCATCGTAAAGCACCTCCCACAACTTCTCCTCATCATTGAGTGTATCCTGAAGCTCTTTCGGTAACTGTTTCCTCGGCGGTGGAATCGAGAAGTCTGGTCGCGCGCCTTGTCGCTCTATAGGCACACCATCGACCTCTTCGATCTTCTTGTTGCTGTCTTTCGCCATGGTCGCGGTGTTGCTCAATTCCTTCTCTTTATAACCAGCTGCGTGCGCGTCGTACTACTAAAGAGAAAAGGCGAACGGAAAGAGAACAAGAACAGGTAATCTCGCAAGCGCTGGTAGTATAAGCTTACCACCCCATGCTTCTTCGGTACCACTACTGCCTACCTCACAGGCCCCAACAAGCTCACTCACACCACCTCGGTAGCCGCATACAGACGTCACACCCACTTAATCGCTTGCCTACCCACCAGCCACCCACCTGATCCATGCTCTGTCCCTCCCATTTGAGCCACGCACCAGCCACACCCCACCGCCACACTTCGCCGCCAAGCCCTATCTTCTCTTCCGAAGAGAGCTCCGCGCAAGCACCCGGCAACGCTTGCACCCACCCCACGACTCTCTTACCTCCACCCTCCATCCATTGACGACGCATCACCCCGCTTACGGCACGGAAAACCCTCGAATACCGCAAAGATGGTTGCTATGTACACTATTATGGGCCGTCAGGTCGGATCGCACGTCGTATGTTCTTGCCTTTTCCGCATGTCGAGAGGAGGAAAAGTTTGGATTGGGAAGTTGCGAACAACTGCAGTGTGGCGCATGCTCTGCCCGTACTTTCTCGGCGACTCTGGGGCGGGAGAGGATCAATTGGGGATAATGGGATTGGCTTGGAGGATATGAAGAATGTAGGCTAACGTGTTGCTACAGCTTGCGATGGCCACCCTCGGTGTGACATTCACCGGTGCTGCGCTCTCCATGGGCGGCAAGAAGGCCGAGGACCCTACTACTCCCCCGATCAACGCGAAGAGCCCTGATGAGGAGAACTTTGTCAAGTGCGTACACACACCTTCATACCTACGTATCCACACACCCCACGCCTCTACAGCGACATGAAAGCACCTGTTCGTCTGCGAGAGCAGCAGAGGTGGAGAGGACGTGATAGGGATGGAATGGGATGAAATAGAATACGAGAGGACTATGGCTAACAAATCATCAAAGGGAGTACGTCAAGAAGGCCGCCGACAAGGTCCAAGGAAAGCAATAAACACGATACAACACAACATGGCATCCGGCTCGAACCGAGGGGAATGATGGTAGATGACGAATGAAAACACACGTCGCGGAATTCGATATAGCCTCGGATAAACGCGCGTGAGCTTTCAGGGAAGGAGACAGCATTGTAGATATCGCCCATTGTACCAACAAACAAGCATTGGAACGACTCTATCAACTCTCTCCACTATCCACGCTTTTCACAGATGATTGGTACTACGAATTGGAGTCGACTGATAAACGTGAACTTGACTGGGTATTTGCGATCCTAACAAACAAGCAGAAAGATACGAATCAACCAACCAGGTATAGAGCCCTCGTAACCATCGCAGAACATAACAAGGAGGATGCTCATGTCGTCTCCTCCCTCCAATCTCCCTCCACCCCCAGATTCACCTCCCTTGCTCCACTCGCACCCACCTTACTCCCCATCCTCCTCAAGCACAATCTTCTTACTCATACTATCCACAACCTTGCAATAAAACTTCGCCGCCTGCGCCCTGGGGAAACAAATCTCCTCAGTCAGATAATCCGGCAGCAAGTCCAATAGTTCCCTGTCTCTTTGCTCATTAAGCAGCGGCTGGTAGATGAACTCTGTTTCTTCGTAGGAGGAGCCCGAGGTGGCGACTGTGAGGTGGAAGTGGAGAGCTATGGGAGCGTTAGTACAACAATAATATGGGGGAGATGGTAGGGGCAGTGGTGATGGGAAGGGAATGGTATAGATAGGGGATAACTTACTCCCATTCCTCCCCGTCTGCAAACAATCAAACACATCCTCTTCATCCTCACTCCTCTTCACGCCCAGGACAACCAAATTCGTCAGATCGCTATACAGATCCACCTTTTGCTTCGCGAGCGTCGCTTCTTTGGCTGCTTCCGCTGTACCCGGCAACACCACACCTGTTGTCCTAGCCTTCACCGCGCTACCAGGCACGTTCTTTGTCTCGGGCTGTTGTGAGGAGGAACGGGCAGCGGCGAGTTTGCTCGACAAAGTCTTGCTCTCATTCTGCGCGGTCGCGAGGGCATCGGCGAGTTTCTTGTTTTCGACGGTGAGACGCGTGGTTTCTTTTGTGGAGGCTGCGAGGTCTTTCTTCAGGGTGGTGAGGGTCGAGGTGCGGGATTGGAGGTCGGTGAGTTGCGTTTTTAGGGATTTGATTACGGCGTCTTGGTCTGTTTGTCGTGTTAGCAAACAAGCTTACTCATAACATGTAGATGTAGAAAGTCATACCTTTGGCAATCTGCTCTGTCCGCTTCTTAAGCTGCTCAAAGTTCGATTCCTTGCCTGTTGACGCAGACTCCTTGAGCGCTTCGTACTTGGCAGTCATAGCATCTAGCTTCCTGGTAAGGTCGCCGACTTTCCGTCGCATCACTGGGTCGCGTTCGGAGTCTGACACGCTTCCTGTTCTTTTCCGTGAGGCTGATGTTCGGCGCGCTCTACTGTTCGGTTGGGCTTGCGCTCGTCGGGCGGAGGGCTGTGATTGTGGTGGAGGCATGCTTTCAGGTATCTCTTCGCCCATTTCAATCGAGTCTTCAATGTCCATTGTGTCTGCGTCTGGCTCTTGTTGTGTCTCGGGGATTGTCACCGGCTCAGGCTCGGTTTCTGGCTCGGTCGCGCGTTTCGTTCCTCTTGACTTTGTCGCAGGCTTCGCTTTCGTCTCCTTCTTCTCAGCGGGTTCTTTCGCAGCTGCCTTGCGCCCTCTCTTTGCTGGCGCTGGTGCTGGCTCTTCGACCTCATCTTCTTGCGCCTTCTTCGCTGGCCTGCCTCTCTTAGCTGGTTTGGCCTGCGCAACCGGCTCCGGGTCTTCAAAGTCTTCTACCTCCTCCGTATCGCTCGCGTTGGCCTCCTCAACTTCTGCATGTGCTTTGCGACCGCCCTTTGCGGCTACCTTCTTTGCGCCTGCCACCGCGCTCTTCTTCATGGCTACCGCAGTCGTACCGCTTGTCCGACGCGTCGCCGGCTTGCCCTTAGCAGTCGCCTTGGTCGCAGCAGCCGTCTTCTTCGTTTGCGCAGCAGTTCCACGCGTTTTTCGCGCCGGTTTGTCGCTGGTGGATTCGGGCGTGGGAAGCGCATTGAGCTCGTCGACCGTCATTTCGTCTTCCGAAGCTGAGTCGACTGTAAAGGAAATGTTCGCGGTTTTACTTCTGGGCGCCATTTCGGTCTCGTCGGTACGTTGGGTAGGCAAGTGGGGAGTGTTGCGCCGGTTGCGTGCGCGGCGGGATGGGAGCGGGAGTGGGATGGATGTAAACACACGACCCTAGCGTGCCTTCCTGACCCAGCGCGTCACCCCAGAACAGGCGGCAACATCTTCACCAAGGTAACATTATTTCTGATCAAAGCCGATATGAGAGAATCGTTATTATTCACAAGAAGCTATTTACTACACTGGAGTGAGCTCAACAGCCCAGCTCAGGTATCATCCCAAAGTATGTATCCAGAACGCCAAAGATCAGTCCATCGTGAAGTCGTAGTACAAACCACATTACCGCCCCTTCCTTACCCTGGGTATACCTATCTTCCGACACTGCTTCCACCCCAGTTACTGGGAGTCATGCTACTAAGCTTACTCGAAATCGTGCTGCCTGAGAACCAACTCGACGATACGCCGCCGCCGCCAAATCCGAACTTCCACCATTTGTTCCTTCCGTATTTGCGACCGCCTCCAAGACCAGTTCTATTGCTCTTCTTGTCGTCGATCTTGTCCTCCCACTTGAGCTTTGTCTCCATGATGGCTTGGATAGAGTTGATGATGAGGAAAGTGGTTGAGCCAATGGCGCGGAAGAAGGCGAGACCAGCCACAGCCCAGAGAATGAAGGTCAGGTAGAAGTTGTTCGTCACCTTGCGGTCCGAGTAGGCTTCGCTGACAGTCATGGCGAGGACAGCGTTGGAGATGAGCCAGATGACTACCATGTAGGTACGCACGGCACGATAGTAGTCTTCCTGTTGCTGCGACTCGGAGATCGGGGGCTCGACAACTTCGACACGGTCACGGAGGTTGCGAAGCGCCTCGTCATATCCACTGTCGATATCCAGCTGCTCTGATGGCATCTCGAGTTCGACAATATCCTTCTTCTTTCCTTTGGCGTCACCCAGATCGGTCTTCGCGACGTTGTCTCCCTTGGTTCCCCAAGTGATATCGTGAGTGTTACAGAAGGCATAAACCTGGAGGGTGGCGATGTACGATGGTAAAAGAGCGAAGTATTGCGCACTCGACGTAAACATGTGCCATGGATCCAGGTACATGAAGGACATGAGGAAGTAGAGACCAATCGTTGTCGCAGTCGAAATGATGAGGTTGGTAAAGACATTGGCACCGATCGTCTTTTCTGCCTTCGGATCCTTCAGTTGAACAATGACAATGTAGAAAGAGGCAAAGGTAGTGTAAGCCATGATGACACCGTACATGACCATACTCCAGAAGAACATCTTCTTGGCACCTTGGGGTCGGTTACCCATAGACAAGATGAATTGCATGCAGATGAGCAGCGTGCATGTGTAGCGGAGGATGTAGAAGATGTATTTTCCGATGTTGTGGCCGAAAGGATCGAGTTCCGGGTCTGACAGTGAGCCGGCGACGAAGTAGAAGGTCAGGTAGAAGTTGGCAAGCGAGAAGAACGTGAACAGGAGTTGCACGAACTGATAGACGAATTCGATGTGGAGTAGGATCTTGCGACCGATGGTGTGGTCAGTGGCCCAGACTTGCTTGAAATGGAGAAGTGAGTAGACAGCCGCGAAGAAAGCTCCGTTCAGCCAACGACGACGTTGAGAGATGAACTCGGGTACGGTATCTGAGACATGTTAGTTTTGGCCGTTGAGAGGATTGTGATGATTAGTTCTTACCTGGCACATCGGTCTCACCAGTCGCCGCTTTGACGTATTTCAAGACCCATTGTTCACTACGCTTCGCTACAAGCTCCCAACACAGAATACGATCTTCGGCCAAGTACATGTTTGCGGTGAACACATCTGCATCTTGACCATGGAGCGTTTCTCCCTTGAAGTACTGGCTGAGGGGACCATGGCCGGTGTGATCGTTCTGCAACGCGTGATACCTGTATGCCGAAAGCGCACCTGGCAAGACTGTAATGTAGCCAAACACTGACTCCAATGGCTTGTCGAGGATATTGGACATCTTGTATTCGAAGTTCTGCGATGCGACAAGCGGGTTGAGCAGACCAAGCCACGCTTTGCCTTTGCCAGCCTTGATTTCTCCAGCAGCTCCAGCGACCGAGGAGTCAGTGTCAAAGGCCTTCCACAGATGGTACAGAGCCTTGGGTCCAGGCTTGGTTCCCACGTCGAGTAGAATGCAGACGTTCGGGTTGAGTGCGCGGCCGAAGGCGTTGAAGAACCAACGATGTGAGTTCAGCTTCTTTGAGTTCTTCTCCTTCAAGCAGAAGATCATTTGGCAGGGGACAATGCCCTTCTCAGCGCCCTTGAACTTGAGGTCTGAGTCCAGCGAGACTTGGGTTGTGTATTCGTAGACGTGGGCAGTGACCTCTTTCTGATTGACGTGGTTCTTTGCGATACCTTCCTGGAAGCATCCCATGGCAGCGATCGCGTCGAGTGTTCTCGGGTGAACCTTTCCGCGACCATCCGCAATGATGCAGACGACGATCTTCTGCCATCCGTCTTTTCCCCAGGTTCTTGACTTCATGCGCGAGCAGAAGTGGCTGATGTTCTGCATGACACCGTGCATTGTTCGGGTGAAGTCGATCTCGTTCTCGTTGTACATGGTGATGGCGATGAAGAGTTCGGTCTCGCGCGGGTTGCCGATGTTTTGGCGCAGTTTGTATCCACGATCACAGTAGTCATCTGGGTCGCATGTGACGGCTGTGTATCGCATGTGCGTGAACTCGATGTCGTCTCGTCGTGGAAGGAAACTGTGGAGGATGGTAGGGATTTTACACTCAAGAATGAGTTCACCGTTGATCAAGCGAACCTCCTTCTTCGTCATTACAGCGTCTCGCGCTCCACGTCGTTCTTGTGCGCCATCGGGAGCCGGCCCGTAGTGCTCTGCCTTCTCATCCATCTCGGTGTAGATGTCTGTGTATGTGTCGTCGGTCATGTACGAGTCGCGCGATCGCAGGTCGGGTCGGTCGTCGCCAATGTCGGTGAAGGGGTCGTCATCGTCGTGAATGGGTATCGAAGTCATATCAGTCATGTCCATGGTGCCCTCTGAGCCGCGGGAGTTGGGTCTGCGGCCGGTGAACAAGGGCTGAGGTGGTAGTGGTCGCTGAGGGCTGCCTGGCCGTGGGCTGCCATGAAGGTCGACTGGCTCGTATGAGTTGACTGACGCTGGCGGCCGCGAGTAGTCGGCTGATGTGCGCGTGGGTGAATATGGTCGGTCGGGTGATAGCGGCCGTCGGTAGGGTACGTATGGGTCTTCTCCCGGCGGCGGCATGTTTGGCGCGGTATCCATCACTGACGGCGTCCGTGATAAGCCGGATACTGAGGAATTTGTGGGGTGGTATGATCGCGATACTGGCGACGGAGGTCTGCGGGAAGAAAGCAATGGTAAGTCTGGGTCTTGTAACCGTACGGTCTTGTAGGGCGTCGTGTCGAACTGCGACTTGATCGTCTTCCGTCGCGGCATCTGCGTAGGCATTGCTGCCGCGCTCGACGTCGAACTCAGCGCATCGCCGGCCTCGCGCAGGAAGTCGTGAATGTCCGCCTCGGCAGCCTTTTGCTTGCCAACCTCAGACATGGTCATGCGCTCGCCCAGTTCAGCCGTGTTGCTGTTGGCATTCGACATGTTTGAAGTGTCCTCGAAAGACGATCTTCTGGTGGGGAATGAGATTGGGTCCGTATGCGGGACGCAAGTGGATGGGGGGAAAAGAGTGAGACAAATACTCACGGCATGTAGCTCTGTTCGTAACTTTGGTCCTCGTCCACGTTTGTCAATAAACGCATGGTTGATCCTCCCTGTAGTTGCTGAGGGGATCCGTCATCATAGTCATATGCAGGTGGCCGTCCATAGTGTGAACCACTGTGTGGTGTGGACCCGTCCATTATGTGTATGCGTCGCGAAAATTCAGATTGGGTATAGAAAAGTGTCGTCGCTATTCGTGACACTCGAGAAGTGATTGCAATGGGCAACAATGCGATATGGATGTGTTCAAAAAGGGTGTAATAGTTACTTTCCCCAGCAGTGATGCGGCGGAGGCGCATGCAGTGGTGTTGTTTCTTCGGGCGTTGTTATGGTAACCCCGCACCCCTGTCCTTGTTTGCTCAGGCGTGCCAGGAACACAACCCCAGATGCCGCCGCCATGTGGCTTAGACCGTGACACCTCAACAATTGATGCGCTTCCGTCCTTAGCCGCCCGCGACTGTTTTGCCTGTCGTGTTCTATAGGCCCGGGATAGAGCTTGCACTATTGGCATTCGTCATCAGAAGGTTGTCGAGGTGAACGTGAGCTAAGCCTTACTGCCTCTGTATTAGGCCCGAATCATGTCAGATACCCACAGCCGAACCGGGTGTTCGCAGGTAACGTAGGTATGTTTGCTTCTATGCACATGGAAGAACCCCATCAGGTAGGCCTGGACTTCAAATTGGGCTTCGCAAGAAGTGGGTCAAAGATCGAGGAGAGTGGACCCAGCGCCGCGGCCCAGGTAGCTGGCAGGAACGACTTCACCGGTGCACATCATCAAAGAAAGTACCGTGTAAATAAAGAGACTTAAGTAAGACCAGGCCCTATCCTGTGTCAAAAGCGCACTTTATCTTCATTGCGAGAAAGACTTCAGCACTTAGGTATCGCTCTCCATCTGAGCCATGAGTCAGATGTAGAACTGGGCTTCGACTGCGAACTTGTGTCTTGTCCTCAGCTCGTCGAAGAACTTCTCTCATTTCGTCGTCGTTTAGAAGGCGGCAGCTGTGAGTGGCTCATCACCGCAATGCAGTACCATGATGGGAGCGCGCACACCGTATCGCTCATTGCTACCGCTCCTGATCTCGATTTCTACCTGAACATATTAACTCTTACATGTGCGAACTCTTACTGAAGTACGGAAATCTCGAAATTAACACCTCCATCAACCTGGCATCAGCAGCCGTTACTCTCCAGATACTACTGCAAGGACGAAGAAGACTTTGTGAGCGCGGTTTATCGTGAGGGCGGTTCATCGCGACGACGTGTATGTTGAGGCGGGGAACTTGGGA